CATAGCTCGGCAGCGAAAACCAAATTAAAAAAAAAAAAAAAAGAGTGCCATAAGGAAGGAAGTTATGAATCCTGCCAAGTGCTGACTCCAAATGGTTTTTGCAAGCCACGCCTCGTGGTATGAAAAATGAGCAGTGTTTTTTAATCTCAATAGTTGGGATTGAATTTGATAAATAAACCCTAAAATATGCATACAAAAAAAAAGTTGTTATTTTTTAGACCCTAATAATGATAATAATTTTCCGTAGGTACACCTACAATACTAATATTTAACAATTACCCTTGTACGTAGATTTGCAAATTGCAATTGTGCAGTTCTCTAGTCCCACGCTATAATTAGATTATTAAAGCCTAGGACAGTGATTAGCCGTTACATTGGCGATAGAGTATAAGTTAAATTAAATGTAGAGCATAGAGTTAAAAATTTCCTCATGGAAAACAAAAGTGTTAATGACAATTTTGCTTCCTTGAACTACAATAGTAATCACACTTTGTCCCTTTAAACTAAAAAACAAAAAAGAATGTACGCTTTTTCGCCCCTAAATTTGACTCCATCATCCTTTCCTTCTCTCTTCCTTCCCTTCAAAAAAAAAAAATGATGTAACAATTAATTTGCCCTTTTCTATTATTAAGTGTTTTGTTATAACAAAATATATCCTTTCTTACTCTGGGGCAAATATTCTAAGTATTATAATAAACATATTCATAATTGTCATTTTTATGTTTAAATTTAAATTCATCATTACATTTTGCTGCTTAAAATTTTGGCAAAGCGCTTTCAAAACTTTTGTTTATAAAATTTCGCCGAAACATTTTGTTCATACCAAATTTACTGATTTCTTACATACTATCTTATTTCTCTTATATTCTTTGAAATACAAAAAATTTAAGTTTAATTTTATGGATTGCAAAAGACATTACAGTGCGTAAGGTTATCCATACTTCACTGTGAATAAAGATTGACCATGGAAATTGCTAAACTCTATCTTGAAAGGAAAATTATAGAATTAAAATGCAAGTAAATGTTGACAGTGTAATGAATATATAGGAAATTTCTTTTTTTTAAAAAACTACATACAAATATTTTTTTCATCAATAATGTTTGGAATAAAGTATATACTTAGTATTATAATCACATTGTAACTTTATAACTGTAGATAGATTATTAAAGCAAAGAGTATATTTTTATGACTAAGGGACAAAGATTGATTAACACTGGGGACAAAATTGAAGAAAAGTTTTCATGTGGGGGTTAAAAAATAAATAAAAATCCCTAACATCTGCTAGGGTAGGGAGATGAAGTAGGATTATGGCTATAGGTCAGGGGTCAAAGTGTTATAAACTCACACACGTATGGGGCCGCCAGGTTTTTCCAGTCAGCCCCACACTTCCTCTTCCTCCAGCCCCAGCCTCCAACCCATCTTTCTCTATCTTATGGCACTCTTTTTTAAAAAAAAAAAAATTTGGTTTTCGCTGCAGTATTGTTCTTTTTTTTTTATATATAATTTGCTTTTGCTGCCGGGCTAATAGATTTGTACATGGGAGTTGTCAGACCCCATTCTTCCGAATTTTTTTTTTGGTCAATATTATGAGTAATTAGCCCTTTTTTCGGCAGCCTTAGAAAACATCGAATCAAGCTGGAGCTCTCACGAAGTGAAGTTATGAGATGACAATTTCGTTTATTAATTATGACGGTAACAAACACATCATGAGTTAGGCCAAATATATTCGTTCCGTTTGGATTAGCTGTTTTTGGGGGTGTTTTTGAAAAATTTTGCTGTAGCGGTGTTTTTGAAAAACTTTGCTGTAGCGGAGTTTTTAGAGTATATTTTGAAATATTTTTAAAAAATATTTTGAAATATTTTTTATTGGCACTTTATTATGAGATATTTGGTAAAATTTTAAAAAAATTTAAACTAATTTTTAGATTATCTTTTAGAGTACTTTGTTGTAACTTTTATTGTATTTGAAAAATTAATTTTTGAAAAACACTCCAAAAACAGGAGATCCAAACAAAGCAATTGATTTATTCGAAAGTACTCCACGTAGCTTTTCAGTGTATGATCATAGCTGCCGCAAAGGTATCAAAAGTACATTACATCGGAAACAGGCACATACTCGAAGTTTCAAATTCTAGAGCAGAAGTCGATGTTTTTAAACTTAAGACTGCTAAGTGTGGGAATCGGATGAGTTTTTTTTTTATTCATGGTTTAGCCGGTTCAGTTCAGTTCAATCTTTTTTAAATTTTTATTCATTATGTAAATTGGAAGAAAAAAGAAAAATCATTATGAACCAATTTAAAAGTTTTGTTTTTTAATCAATTTTGGCCGATTTGACCACTTCTTGATCAAGTTTGATTAATTTAACTTATGTTTTGAGTTGACTAATGAAATAGACCAATACCATGACTAGTTCATGGTTTGACTGGTCAAATTAACTAATCCTGTCCGATTTTTAAAACACTGACAGAAGTGGGGAAATAAGTTAAGGTTGGAATTGGAGGAGTTCCTTTCATTTAAAATTGATGCAGGACATTGTAGAAAAACTGTCATATTCTAAATATCTATTTCTTTACTCTAAACGAAAGAAGAGAGTTCGCCTCCAATTCTTTTCTGTCAATTCATCAATAAGGTCCCGCAACCGTAACATGGAGAAGCCTATAGATCTTTGGAGTTGCCTCACAAGAACCTAGGAAGAATGACGAATTGCATAATATTCCCTCATCCTATTAGAAGTATTATACTTTTTGTTTAGAAATATTTCAAAATGTTTGTCATATTGAGAAAATCAAAACACTTTTTAGTCTTTTTTTCTAATACAATCCCTCCCTTTAATCATATATATGTTACCAATCAAATTGAAAATTTGAATTTGTAGGAGTAAGATTGAAAATAAAATTACAAACATCACGATCAAATCATTATTTTTAAAAAATTGATTTTCGAAACATGACAAAATAATTGAAACAGAGGGAGTGATAGAAACCAACATAAAATTAACCGTAAAGAAAACATATGTTAACCGATCCAACTGATAATTAAGGACATTGACCAATTTTGGGGTATTGATTCAACTCTCAAATCTTCTCGTTCTTTTCAGTTTAGAGTCTCCCTTAAGACACAAGAGGGGGCCAAAAGAAAAAAGAAAACAAGGACAGGAAACTATTATGCACATCGTAATCAAACTAGCTAGTTATACTACAAGTTAAATATTACTCTACACATACAATTCCTTCACAGCATTTTCCTTCCAACCACTGCATTGACTAACTTTTTACTAACAAGTTAAGATGAAGGGATGATGATCCTTTTCCACGGTCGGAAACTAATGGACAATGGATTTTCTGAACTAGAAGACGAAGTAAAGGGAGATTGAGAAGTGGTAGTTAATTCGTTAATATATTGATGCGCAGTGGTAATTTGGACAAGTTTTTACATGACATCAAACTAGGAAAAAATATTTTATACTAGGGAATGAGTTGAAAAGATGGGAGAAATTGTTGTGGGAGGAAAGGTAGAGTTTAGAATTTGAAACGTGGTGTCTGTGGGACTAAAGTCACCACATGAAGTCCTCAGTGCAGCAGAGTAGTTTGGTGCCTAAATAGAGTAAGTCCAGCTCGAAGCATTTGCTAAAACAAGAAAATCTGGGGGTTCTTTACTTGAGATGACCTCTCAGCACTTTCAGCCACTGCCTCTTGAGATGAGTGTATGGTGGTGGAGTTCCCCTTTATACTCTGAGCAGTGTGCCCATCTTCCGACCGAATCTGTGGAAATTAGTGAATTTTTTGCCTTGATTACAAGTAAACTTGGAAGGTTCTATCCTAGTCCACCTTGAAAGTTTTGCTATATTGTTTCCTGAAATGCAAAAGACGGAATCTATCTACTAGTAGTAGAATACAAGCTTTTTAATCAAGGGAGCAAGCAGAAACCCTAAGAGATGTCTTGTTCTCGCTTTTTGGCTGAAAAGAGGCTATAACCATGACAACCAGCTTGGTTGGGGCCACCTCTTTCCTACCCAATAAAAAAGCTTGGTTGGGACTTGGGGCCACATGGAGAATTAGTTTTATGAGTAACATAACTTATCTCTGACACACAAGTACCCTATGGGAAACATATATTTATGCCTTAATAACCTTCATTTGTTAGCTGGACATCCAATCAACAGGAACCGATTCTAAAGGTCCCATTGAGAGCAAGAAATGATCAGAAACTGACATATTTTCCTCTGAAAAGAAAAGAAAGCTCCCCACTAATCAGTCTAATTAAGCAACGGCCCTTCGGACTATTGCCCGTCACCAGAAACTTTAGGCCTTGTTTGGATTGCCGGTTTCCGTCAAAAAATTACGTCGTTTTCCGTGATCACATTTCCCTATTACCTTTTTCCCTCACATACATCAAATCACTACAGTAATTTTTCCATGAAAAATCACGGAAAATGCAATCCAAACACAACCTTAAGTTTTGATGGGATAGGAGGGCAAGGTTCAAGTTTTGCCTCCCATCAATGCATCATTATATATGGGTTCAGTCCCGTCCTCTCCCTCCAATCCAATGTAATTTAGAGTGGAGTAGAAATAAGAATAAATTAAACTACCTATGTATCTCGTCTAGTCCGATAACAGTGTAGTTTAATCATTAGTTTTTTATGCATCTCATCTAGTTTGATGGTAGTTTAGTTCTGACAGTTTCTCTAGATCCCCATTGGGCCTATCTGTTGCCATCTAATTAAAAAAAATAATCTATTTGCTCAAAAAACCCAAGAACTCAAGTGCACACTCTCGCCTACTAAACAACACAAGAAAATTGAGAAAAAATCAATTTCTCTAAGCCCCGTTGGGCCTATCTGTTGCATTTGATAAAATTAATCTATTTGCTCAAAAAACCCGAGAACCCAAGTGCACACTCTCGCCTACAAAACAACACAAGAAAATTGAGAAAAAATTTAGAGAGGGAGGGAGAGGGTGAGGAAATTTTTTTTTTTTTTGGAGGGCAGAGAGGAAAGTTCATTACTTTTGTATTCTACACTTGAACCGAGCTAGCTGTTCCCAGATATATAGCTAGCCATAACGAAAGCCTCGCTACTAGGTTTTTATTCATTTACTAGTAGTATATATAACTGAGGTAAACTAGCTATAACTAAAGCCTCACTACTAGGTTTTTATTCATATGTACTGTATGTAACTGAGGAGCTGCTTTGTTCTAGATAGCAACCCTATATATTGAGAAGCTGGAACCTGGTACTTGCTCATCCAATTGGAAACCACTTTGCAGTTAGTTTCTTGGTCAAACCGATCTCTGTAAATTAAGAGCTTTTACTCTCCTTCCCTAGCCCCTACCACAGTCCCCCATCATGGCAAGAAGTGCGGAACCACTTGTTGTTGGCAGAGTGATAGGGGATGTCCTAGAGTATTTCACTCCCTCCATAAAAATGACTGTAATCTATAACAACAAGCAAGTTTGCAATGGCCACGAACTCTTTCCGTCGGCCGTCATCAGCAGGCCTAGAGTTGAGATTCTTGGAGGAGATATGAGAAGTTTTTTCACATTGGTAAGTCGTCACAAAACTTGATTACATTGGGGATGAGATGGTGAACATAATCAGAATCATCTTTTTCCTGCTGCATGCCAAATATTCTCTGGCATTCTTTTATATGTGCAGGTCATGACCGATCCCGACGTTCCAGGCCCGAGTGATCCTTATCTGAGGGAGCACCTGCACTGGTAAACACGGAAATTTTTACTCAAAACTTTATTTTCCAACGGAATTGATAGCGAAGAAAGAGTATTTCTCATTCGTTCATATTACCTGATCTTCGGGCTGCAACATATTACGGATTGTACGTGGAACTCGATCTAGCCCTTGGTGTCTTTTGATTAATAGGAGTTCCACATGTAGGATTCCTTGCCACAAGCACAAAAGAATATTATTAATCATCTACTAAAATGGATCAGATCATCGGAGTAGCGGTTTATTCTTCTTGTTGACATTGGGCACAAGTTAGCTTGTAGTATCGATCAGACTGGTACAACGTCCTTCGTACTATCAGTGACCATCCCGTGAAAGAAAAGGAACAAGAAGGGAGGCATATATTATTTTGAATCCGCTCAATTAATCATTTTCTTACTGAAATTCTTGCACTAAAGGTTGGTATACTAAATGAAGAAGAAGAAATGGTGTTGAACCGTACTAGGGTTTTTTTCTGGATCTAGGCAATAAGGAGTTACTAATAAAGATGTTATTGTCAGGAGAAAAGAAGAAGTGTATACTAAAGTAAGTCTATGGCTTAACAGTGCTTGTCTTAACATGCTTTTTTTTTTTGGCAGGGTTGTGACAGATATTCCAGGCACAACCGATGTTACATTTGGTAAGTTCATCGTCATACTGTATATATATCACCCGTGTAATGTGTGTATAGTATGTAAGCCTCACCAGTTATCAATTGTGACACCCAAAAAAAAGGGGCGGTGGTGGGTTGATTAATTATTAGATGAAGACTAGTACTACTACTAAACAGAGTGGTTGATTTAACTTATTACACAACCACCCTAGCATGTACGTGACTACTATGTGGATGACAGGAAGAGAATTGGTAAGCTATGAGATCCCACGGCCGAACATAGGGATCCACAGGTTTGTGTTTGTTCTCTTCAAGCAGAAACGCAGGCAGACAGTTAACCCACCTCCTTCCCGGGATCAGTTCAACACCCGAAATTTCGCAACTGAAAATGATCTGGGCGAGCCTGTTGCTGCTGTCTTCTTCAATGCCCAGCGAGAAACAGCAGCCAGGAGACGTTAATTGACCCCTATCGAACAACCCTAGTAAGCCCCAGAAGTCAAGATAAGAGAAGATAGGAGAAGAGTGTATGTTTCTGTGTGTTTGTAGACTGTAGAGTCAGAATGCAGTCATCGTTAGGATGGCATGGTGGCTGTAAGCCCATAATAAGTAAGTTTCTCTCAAGTGTTTGTCCAAATTCTCCAAATGGAATATGAATGGAGTGGGCCAATCGGCATCAGAGAAAAGAATCCGCTCTCTTCTCTCTCTCTCTCTCTTTTACTAATATGATCGGATCTTTACTATGATGTGTTTGTAGCACCTCGTACGGTCATATATGTATGGTTTCCATTAAAAGTAATTGCTGTTGTAGCAGTAGTAGTAGTTTGCTACTTTCCCAAAGTACTACAGTAGGAAAAAAAACATGCGGCATCTTCCCTCCTCCTGGGACCTGAGTCCTGAACCATCAAATTGGATTCTTCTGAGACTTTGTCAATGCAAGCATAATTGTAAGACACGTGATGGGATGGGAACCCGTTCCTCAGCAACCAAAAAATAAAAAAAATTCTGAACACCTTCCAATTGGCGCTGGTCACTTGTATCAGTCTAGGGTTGTTAGTCTCAATTGGACTGCTGCTGGGGTTTCCCTTAATCAGATGTCCATTTTGTTACTTTTCCGGTTGTAAAGCCAGCCAAGTAAGTGGATAGATAAGTGCATGCGCCTTCCAATCAGAACTACTTGCACTGCATCGGGTTGTGTTGTGAGTAGGCATGCACCAATATTGCCTCTCTCTATGGTGGACAGATCAGTGCATCATTATTAGACGTGATCATGATCCGGGGAATTGTTAGCTACAGTGCATGCATTGATTTACCATTTCTAGCTTTGTACAAATTTTGTACTTTAATCTTAGGTTTTTCCATGCATTTATTTGCCCTAGTTCTCTCAAAACCTTAGCTCATATGTTGGTTCAGCTACCCGCCATTGACAAGTCTGCTCAAGAACACCGACGACCACCTAGATTTATGACCTAAACTTTGTGCGCCCTCCAGCTTCATTGTCAATGGTGATCAACTACCAATTGTATTGGAGAATTTCATATTTCCTCAGCCTGTTTACTCGTTCCAAGTTCCAATACTACATAGCATAGCGTGGGAATCACATGTCCTGCTGAAGGGTGAACTTGTCATTGTGATTTGACAAAAGTTCAATTCCCCAGCTGCGACTCCTCTTTAGAGTCTTTACTTAACCGTATCTAAAAAGAGCCCTGAGATATGGCATAGCCTTTTTTTTTCTTTTTTTTTTGAGATATTGTATAGCCTAACAGACCTTTTTTCGTTTCCTTTTCTTTCCCCCTTTTTCCATAGCCTAACAATACTCCTTAGGTAACACATAACACCTTAGCTTCATTGATTTTTGGCCAATTAGATATGGTAGATCATATGCATAACGATTTGCATGTGCAGTATATATATATAGTGGGTGGGAAGAAGATAAATAAAAAAATTTTCGGAGACAAATAATAATGGCTTAGCTTGGATTAGTGTGTTTTTCTACAAACTATTTTTGTTTATACAGTCTATAATAACATATCTTAAAAATAACTAATTCACACAATCTCCAAATACACCAAAAAAATAAAAATAAAATATAATTCCTATCACCACACACCACCACTACCACTTACCACCACCATCGTCTCCATCCTCTCTCCCTCCCTCTTCCTATTCCTCCAATTATTTTCTTTTGCTTCCTTGGCCCTCCCTTCCCCTTCCTTGAGAGTTTCAATCAAGTGAAGGGAGGAGAAAGGAGAAAGGAGGAAGGAAGAAGGAGGAAGGAGGGAGCAAAAGGGAGGAGGAGTGAGGAAAGCGGTGGCAGTAGGTGGTGGTATCTTCGATTTTGAAAAAGTATCCCAATAAAAATTAAATTATAAATACAACCCAATAAATAACTATAATGATAAATTTTTCATATATAATATTACAGTGTTGTATTTAAAAAATATTTTCAAAAATACTTAATCCTTACAGTGCCAATATTTAGCTGTTTATCCCTTTTTCTCTTGGATAAGGAAAAAAAATTTAGGAGATAGACAATAATGTGTTTAGAATTTCTTTTCAACTCATAAATTTAGAGTCTTTCTTAAGAAAAAAAAATTGAAGAGATAAACAACTCATAATTTTAAGTAAATCAACGAGACATGGTGCAAAACCTGTACAAGGCTCAGGTAATAGTGGAAATTTTCAAGTGAACTTGTTTATGAGATGACGTCGTACGGAAGAAAAAGCTAATGATACCTTTATTTCTTGTTTAGAACTGTATCAACTACAGTCCAACTGCATGTTCTTTTGTGCCCCATTTTCTCCCAGCAACAATACGAAATTTTCTTTTTTGAGCAGCAACATGATTAGTCACCCATGTATATGTTCATTTGACAAGCACCTCACTAATGTTGGCCAAACGAAAAAAAAAATAGACAAATAACAAAAGCAAGAAGAAGGCAATAGCTGGGTGTTAACACATGCAATTTTCATTTACCCCAAGAATGAAAAAAGCAACTCCCAATATGCTCGTGGTGATATACCGACCGAAAACCTGTTTTTATTGTACTATTGACTAACTTTGGACCAGCCAAGGGGGTACGGGGATACAGGAATTTGATGTGAATGAGTTGGAAGAACTTTGAGTTGTTGAAAGGTGAAGCCACAAAAAATTATGGTCACGATTCTGCCTTAGCAATTTGTCACTGACCCCGTCCACGGATTTTAAGAACGTAGATATCTCCTGCCCTCAAATTTTCTGTTAAAAGTTGAGGAACTCCGGCCGGCAGCAACGATGATAGTTTCAAATTGATTTCAATTACCTTAAACTAACAGCAGCATCAGACTCTGAGTTACATTTCATGTTAAGCATCTTATTAATCTAATTAATTTATTGAGACAATTTTCCAACTTGTTGATCAATAATTGACAACCTCCTTTTAATTGTAATTTCTAGGAGACGTCACCAAAGACATGACGCTTTGAAAAGATGATCATCCACGAAAATTACTGTCAGATAGAAAGGCCAAGACTACCATCTTTGCAGTACTTCGTCTTCGACTAAAAGTCAGGGTGGATAAAAATTCAACCCTGTTTATCTCACTAACAAATGTCTTTTCTAAAATTTGCCATAAGGATAACTTATTGAGTTGGTGCTCAATGCACCCAGGGTGAGAAATGTATGAACAGATTTCTTTTCTGACTTTTGCAATGAGGATAACTTGAATGACATTTTAAACTGTGCACACATCAGTCATCACACAATGATGCAATTCAGAGAATAAATTGGATATATATAGAGGTGGCAGGATTTAGTGAACAAGACAAAGTGTTTCTTCACCCGATTTCTGTGTGGGGGGTTGGGGGGGGGGGGGTATAAGGGGCATGCACAATGATTTTGGCACATCTCAAAGTTTCATCACCGGAATATATTGGGAAAAAAAATAAAATAAAAGAGTGACTCTCAGAACCAATCGTTCATTAATAATTAATAATTATACTTATCAATTCGATACTTAACTAATTTTTGTAATATTTTTAATCCTACATTATTAGATTTACAGTTCATGCTTTTGTTTCTTGATGCAATAATCTTGAAGCCCAAAAGTGTCGAAAGTGGGGACACCCATGAGTTTTCCCGGCACGGACTCCTCCGCCGAAAAAGAGCCCGCATGCCATGAAAATGCATGATCGCATGCTTTTTCTACTGTGGGAACTGCCTTTGAAACGTCAGCAATAGGCAGCAAACAATTGGCCAGAAGAACAACGTTGGGCGTTGTTGCGGTAAAATGGCTTTCCCAGTAAAGGGGTGGTGGGATGTTATCTCCGACGTCCAAGTTGATCTCAAAGAGGTCCTCTTCTTCTTCTTCAGCTTCGATATCATGATCAGTTGCAACTTTGCAGCAAGCCATTGCATGTAATTCTTTGGTTGCAGCAGCATCCTTGGCCATATGTGCTATAGATATAGATACGAAGAAGTGTCTTTATGGAATTTCTGTTGACCAATTAAAAAGTATGTTTGTTTTATGCGTGCTGGAGAGCTATTTATATATATACGGTTGGATTGGACTGGTGGGGTTGCTGGCTGGAAGGTGGATGGAGGAACGCTCCTCAACAAATCTACAACTAGCTATTTCCAACACGAACTGAGGTCGATGCACCCATTTTCAAACCACGGAATTCACCAATATATCAACATCCTGTAGAAAAACACGTAGTATAATCTAGCTTGTCGTTTTATTGACCGGAGGAAAAAGGACAAAGGAATCTCAAGTGATATATTAAGGGGCAGGTCTTTCGTCTTCTAAAAGGATTTGAGTTGATATTTTCTTTTACTACTTTTTTTTTTTACCACATTCTCGTGTAGATGAAGAAATGGTTAAGTAAACTCTATTTTCTTGAATTGCAGCTGTGAGCATGCTGATATATATATATATATATATATATATATATATATATATATTGGATGGACCTTCTTTTATGTGCTCTGCCTACTTCAAGTGATCAGTCATGGAGATCCAATTTGATAAAAAGAAAAAAAAAAGGATATATTGACAAGAAGTCATATGTAGATTTGAATTAGAACATTCTTGATTCAGATTGGAATTGTTCATGTGCACCCGCCGAGCTTGGCAGGCACAGAAAATTGAAGTCAACAGAAGTAGAGCTAACTACCTCAACGGACCACAAGATGTTGCACCCTATTTCCAAATTGCCTAATTCTGATGGATAACCAGCAAGTAGCTTTTGGGACATCACATGAGAGTCTTAACTCCCGATGACGAGAGACAAGAGTATCAACTCCTACTCGGATTCTGGTCATCCAAGCAACCAAATCAAAATACAGAATTGGATACACAAACATTAAAAGAATCTGGTATTGCCGTACTGACACAATTGCAACTATAGACTATTCGAACAGTATGGACTATTTAATTTATGTATGTGAGTAGCAGCATCGGCTCTATGACCAAAAAAAATAAAATAAAAAATTTAAAGCTCCGTTTGAATAGAAGGAAAGTAGTATAGGAAAGTGAAGTGAAATAATGTGAGGTAAAGAAAAATGAAAATGAGTTTGGTTATTAAGAAAAATATTGAGAGAATATAAGAAGTTAAATGATAGTTGCTATTAGTTACTACTAAAACTTTTGTGAGTAGCCAACTATTTTCCTTCACAATCCTGCATATTTTTCAAGACACAAAATGCAAAAAAAAGTGTAGGAAAAAGCAAGAAAATTTTTCAACATCACTGCCAACCAAACATGCATGAAGGGGAAAAAAAAATACTTATTTTCCTTCACTTTCTCACACTTTCCCCCGCAAACAAACACGACCTGAAAGACGGCATAACAGGTCGGCCACCAGTGTGGCACCTGAAACTACTACTACATTGAATAACATTAAACAAAGCTTACTTTAATTAGCAAAATTCGTGGTAACATGACATCTAATCTACATGTCTAATTTTTCCTAAGATATTCACATAGAAATTGCCTTTACGCAGAAAATGATCTGACTTGCTTACATTCCAATAATCACAACTCTGAGGAGTTTTGATTGAAATTTTTTTTTAAGTGTAGGTGGGAATTGGAATCACAACTCTGAAGGAGTTTTGATTGAAATTATTTTTAAAGCATAGGTGAAAAGTCTTGAATATAGAATTTTTTATTTATACTCCTTCCTCGAGTATCATCAAACACCTCACTTTCTTGATTAATGGGAAAAGTTGGAGCACCCGAATTGTTTGCCTCTTTTGAGTCCAAAGCCAATTCCAAAAAGCCCATGTGTTCATTCAGAATGACTGCTAAACTGTCCAAATATTCAGATTGACCCACCTTACCGATGGTGGGCTAAATTGAAGACCGGAATTTCACACACCCATTCATCTTTGGGCTTTGGGCAATTTTTGGACAGACTTTGAGATGAGTTGGAGGGGTTCTTATTGCCTGCCAAGTCATGGGCGTCCATGGTAAAGGTCTCAAGAATGACCTTGGGCTACGAGCAATCTTTTTTTCCTTCCCCTAGCTCCTTTTCTTTCCCCCTGGATTTTTTCTTTCCCGTTCCGTTTTTGATGCTTTTCTTTCCCTCGTTCTTTAACCTTCTTTCTTCCTTTCCTTTCCTTTCGTCTCCGAATAGCAAGTTTGTTGGGTTTTCGAAAGGAGTAGATTCCAAATTGCCGCTCCAAGTCAAGACAGACATACAGCATCTGCACATCAACACCCCCACAGGGACGCAATAGGGAGAAAACGAAGCAGAAGCAGCAGCGTATTCAGTGTTGTATAGTATTGCAGTAGTAGTAGTAGTAGTAGTACGTAGGGAGAGACAGAGTAGTAGTGTGTAGTGTGGCGTATGAGTGATGATGGGGACTGCGATTTCAGTGGAACGACAAGAAGAAGAACAAGAGCAAGTAGTAGTTGGCGGAGGAGGTCTCTCAGCTACAGTGGCAGTGATGGGATGTGCCGCCATGGCTGTGTTTTATGTTGCAATCCTTTATGCTCCCACCTTAATTCTACGCTTGCCCCCGCCCGCTTCCTACAAATCCTTCATGATTAGACGCTTCATCTGCGCCGCCATCTCCTCCCTGGTCTCCATCTTCGCCTCCGCTCTCATCCTCCCTGTAAGCCTCCTCTCTGCTAATTCTTCTCTTTTTTTGCCTCAGTTTATTTTTTTTCCTTTTCGCTGTTAGTCGCCTTAAAAAGCACCAATTGCTAAGATAATTGCTTTCTTGAAGCTCTCAACATACCCCCTTTTAACTGAAAACTGAGCTGGGTAATATCAGTTTCATCCTTTTCATTGGCTAGAAAACTTCAATGACAATTATCTTTGATGGTTTGTGTCCCTCTTCAACTGTACTTTTGTTGATAATTGACCAATCAGTTGAAAGTTTTGGTGTGTATTCAGCAGTGCCTTTTGTCAACCTAAGTACTTAATTGAGCGTCTCTTTTGGTTTTGTCATTCTTTTGAGTATCTATTTCCTCATATATAACTTAAAACTTAGTGAACTCGAAGCTGAAGAAGCCAACTTTGACAATCCTTGGGTGAAACCAGATGACCAATTTGCCAAGGAGATTTATTACTAAAATACAGGGTAAAGTGCAGGCTTGGATGAATAGCGGAGCATTACGTTGAATTTCATCTGTGTTAGTCGTAATTTTCATGGATGAATGTTAACCCATACAATGTAGCATGTTGATCCCAATGTTTCCTTCTCGCTTTCTGGTGTATGCACTTAGTCTATCTTGGTTTTGATCTTTAACCCACCTGCTAAACTTTCACCAAATATGTGACCTACGCTTGATTAAAGGAAAAAAAAAAAAGATAAAAAAACTGATGTGATTGGGATATTTACATCTTATTACTTATTTCAATCTGCTTCAAACAAATTCTGGCCTCTGTATGTTTGATATTTATATCTAATTACTATCCCACCTGTTCGATGTTGGTCATTTGATATGACATTTCAATCTACTTAAAACAATTCTACCCTTGGTATGTAGAGTGTGGCAAACGGTATCCTGAACCCAGCCAATTAAAATACACGAAATGATGCACGGTCCTTGGCTGATCCATCACGAATTTTGATTTCACCCTCTATCCTCTCTTTTCCGCTGATTTTTTATGGGGCCCACGTCTGGTGCAATATGGACACCCTAGCACAGACTATCTCTTGTATGCATGTGTTCTTTCCTGTGTTTATGCTGCCACTCTGCTTATATCTCATATCTACTTAGATTTCATTCAAGGACTTGCTAATCTGTCCATCTTTAGATGTAAAATTTTTGGAGTGCCATTTCTGATTTTTATTTCCAATTGTGACTCATTTGTGTCAGCTAAGATGGCATGCACCTGATGTTTCCAGTGCTTTTGGCATAAGATTTGATCATCTCGTAAGTATTCTGTTTGACTTTGCTTTACGTTATTAACTTTTAGTTTTGCTTGTGCTTTTTATTAGTTCACATTATTTCTGGATTTGGAGATTGAAAAGGATGACTTATGCTGAAATGCAATTTTGTGTATGAAACAGTGGCAAGCTTTGATCCTTCCTCTCTCTCTGACTTCCCTAATGTATGCTGGGTCATTCGTCCAGAAATGTTTGCATCTCCTTGATTCATGGGAGCAACATCAAAACTATGGCAGAAATGTAACAATTGAGTGGATAAGTAAGGTGCAGGACAAGTGTATTGATTTGATGCTTACGATGCCTTCCAACATCTCAGTTTGGCGCAACTATATTGTGGTTAGTTTATGTATTAGCTTTTTATATTGCTAAACAATTTTTCTCTTAGTTTTGCCTGTTATATTTTCTCGGAACTGCTTGTCTATTCTGGTATATGTTTTAAAAGGATAGGAAGCTTTTTTTTCCCCCCCAACTTTCTCAAGAGTCAAATGTTCTGTAGCCTTTATATCTTTACTAATTTCTTGTTGGGAGATATCAATGATCTGCAATTCTGGCTCGCTTAGCTGCATAAACCCAAGTTTGCTTGATGATTTTAGATATTTAAAGATCTCTCGTACTTCCCAAAAAAAAGAAAAAAAGAAAGATCTCTTGTACCGCATGAAATGAGTTTGGTTAATTTTGTTGGTTAGTAGCATGCTCATTATGTTTTACACACTGGTTTTTTAGGTATATTGTGCAATAGAAGAGTTGATGTTTAAATTATGTTAGAGATATGATTGATTTCTGGAAATGTATATGATTACTGGATTAGCTGGGGATACATGGTGCCATCCACTGTCAAGTTTGATATGGTCAGTATATGTTTGTGAGAGCATGAACTTGTTGACATTGTCATTCTTTTAATGTACTTAGATATAAAGCGAAGTGGTATTAACAATGTGCGGATAATCCATTCTTTACAAAATCTGAAGGATCCTTCTGTAAGACTCTCAATATATCAACTACTGATGTTATGTTCTGTTTGCTAGCAATAATGTGATGTTATTAGTTAATGCAAATATGTAGTCAAGTGTATGTCTCCATTGACAGCCTAAAAGCTGAGGAATAGATGTAATATGGGTGGAATGATTCTATGAAGCATTTTAACTGAATTAAAGTCCTGCTTCAGATATGTGTGATTCTGTCAGCAATAAATGGAATACTTGCATGTCACACAGCTATAGTTTTCAAAACAAGGCTGTATAATTTGTTTGGAAGGTACTCTCTAAACAGAAATAACCTGCGATCAGAACTATAATATATTCATATTCTTTTCTAAGTTTTTTTTTTAAATATTTGAAATTACAGCTTATGGTTCTAGAACTCTTTGGCATTTTCTCTGTCAATACATTTTTTGTAGCTTTATTTGGAACTTCAATTTAGGGTGGTGGTTAGCTGTTGTGGTCAGACAATTGTGTGCATGAGAGTATGACATAAAAGCTTCTGGTCAAGATTTTAGCTACAACTTATATTAATGTCAAAGCCAATAGATAAAACAGCGGTCCAATGTGAGTTGGAAAAAATGTAGAACTAACATTATATCAGTCAACATACTTGTTCAAAAGTGTGCTGTAATTTGAACGTAGCCTTTTTCTTTGTATTTCTCTTTTAATTGGTCTGTTTATGGACCCTCTGCTTGTTAATTTGTTTTTGAACTTTTTGCTGGATATGATTATGCAGGCTCCAATTACAGAGGAGTTGGTATTTAGAGCTTGTATGGTACCCCTCCTTCTTTGTGGAGGTTTTAGCACTTACACAGTTGTATTTCTTTGCCCCATCTTTTTTAGTTTAGGTGAGTGAAAGCTTCCTTTTTTTATTTTTTTGGGAGGTTGTAAGTTCTGCTTGAAATGGTTGAGTCACTTCTGCAAAAAGGTTATCTTACTAAGCATAATTCAAACTTGTCTTAGGGAAATTGATATATTCATATCACCTAAAATGAAATATGAATTCTACTTTTTTGTTTTTAAATTTTTTTGGGTTAGCAGCGGAAGGGTGGGAGTTAAGAATCGGGGAGGGGAAAGGGGGGAATTTAACCTAGGAACTCTAATTCCTAGGCCTCAACCCTAGCCTGTAGACCAAGGCCGCCTCAGCTAAATATGAATTCTACCTGTTAAGGATTTAATTCATAATATTTTAATACATTAATACAGTAAGATGACTTTCTTTCTTCTGCTTTTCTTTGTCAATTTCTGGGATAAGCAGAGAATTATTTCTTAGGCATGACTGGCATCATGTGGATTTTTGTTTTTTCCTTGTCAGTATGCTTATTGTTTTGATTGGGCATTTTTCTGTTCTTAAATCACCTTGTATTGCTGGACTGTGAAAAAGGTATTCCCCAATCCTGTCAAAGGTTCAAGCTTTAAGTTATACCATCTATCTGCTCTTCATTTTGTTAACTCTTGTCCTTTTCGGAACTTATCTCCAACCATATGCATTACTTGTTTCTCTTATTTACTACTTCACGGAGACTAAGGATATGTTTCATTTTCAGCTCATTTAAATCATATATTGGAATACTATTTCCAGAAAAACAGGAGCTTGGTCAAAGCATCCATGGCTGCAGGTATGCTTCCTTTCTCTGTCAACTCAGAGAACTCAAATTTTCAATTCGGTGAGAACAAAGCAAAAGGAGTTACTTTGCATTTGGTTTAATCCCTCTCTAGTCAGAGAAGAGTTGTTTGATCACTTTTGATGTAAAATTTTGGATAAGAGAGTGACACAACATTGACACTCATTTAGTTTATCAAGAAATTAACTTTGTTGAGAGGTACCCTTGAAAAGGTGTAATGTTCAAATTGAAGTAGGATAAGGATCCAACTTGGCATTGATCTTTTTAGGGGCTTCTTTTGATTTATGATTTCTTTTTCTTAGGATTTTCTTTGTGCCTCAGGTTCTTTCAGTTCCTGGCTTTTTAACGTAATGCTTATTTTGAGTTTCCTGTTTCTGATTTTTGTTCCAGGTTTCCAGCTTGGCTACACTGTTATTTTTGGGTCGTATGCGTCATTTTTGTTTGTTCGAACAGGTGGGCAAAGCTTATCAAAACATAAATCTTGAAATCTCTTTTTTAACTATTCTTTTTTGGCAACTTGATTAACTGCAATGAGATTGGTTTATCAATCTTAGAACACCTTTAGATCCAGGATAGTTTCATTGCCCCGGTTGAGTAGAATTCTTACATGGGGTGGTAATTTTAGACATTCTGCTTTTAGGTTTGCCTGCAGGCAAGTTGCTTCTGACAAATCTTTTGCTTTGGAGGATGTTGATTAAAAGATGGGTTATGGGCTTGCCAGTATAATTTCTTCCACATAGAAATCATTTGTTGTTTTCCTTTTTTGTCCTCATTTAGCTCATTCTGATTGGCCTATCTTTTGTGATATTCTTCTTGTTTCATTGTGATTTTCAGGGCATCTTATCGCTCCCCTAGTTGCTCATATCTTTTGCAATTATATGGGTTTGCCCACAACTTTTTCACGAAGGGCAGGTATGTGGTCTCAAGCTAGATATCTTTGTCTGAATAGCTCCAAAATATTGAGAAAAATGTTGATTTATTGCTTTAAGCATTTTGATTCATATGTTGTTTGAACTTTCCCTTCTCGCCTTCCTATTTGTCACCATTATTACCTTTTGTTTCTAAAAAAATTTTGCTGCATGATCTTGCCAACTTTTTTTACTCTGGTATGTGCCCTTGAGCTCTCTCGTATTCATAGAGCCCTGAATTTTATGACCTATTATCAAATGAAAAGGCTATTGTGTGCTCCACACAAGAAAAATAAAAAAATCGGCACGCATTGTTTGATAGCTGAATATGTAGAAGTGTGAAGTGGTCTTTAATTTCGGAAAGCAAGTTTTAATTATGAATGCAAGAAATATATTTGAGACAGACCCCATTTAAGATGTTATACAACCAGTTGAAAATGATGCATACAATTCTGTACGTGTTTTTCTTATAGAATCAACCGTGTGACATAGTTGCGTAGACATCCTTAGACTTTTAACAGTGCAGTAATTACTCCAACTGCTGTCTCCCAAGACTTGACAATTTTCCATACATACATTTCTATAATGTTCTATTACGAAAAGATCATGCTTTTGTATTGATAAGGATAATCTTGGGATAACGAATCTTATTATTGTGGGCATGAGAATGGAGGGAAAACGTATGCAACCAGAACAAAAACCCAAGCCAGAAGCAAGTTAATGGAATTTCAAAAGCCATAATTGCACCAAAATCTGGGTGATCAGTGGAGCTATTAGCCTTAAATTAATTCAAAAATTGAATAGTCACGCCCTTTTAAATTTGATCATCACTTAACAGTAGTGTCTGCGCTCTTCAACATGATACTATTAGGGTTTAAGTAAGTTTCTTGGTATAGTAAAATGCGCTTTAAAATCACCTGCTTCAGAAGAATTTCGGTTCGCATGTGCAGTAACCAACTCCTCCATTTCCCATTTTTGAGTTAAGCAGTGTACTTGAATATGTTGTTTCCGGTCCGCATGTCCTAAATGAGCTCATTAACCCTGTATAGTGATTATGATAAATGATTAAACACCTTTTTGCCTTGTTTCGTCATAGTGAACAATTTCTTTGAATTGCGATCAGGAATGGTGAGTATGGCGGCATTTATAGCTGGGAGTCTCGGCTTCTTCTGGCTTCTTTTTCCACTCACAAGCCCGCATTTGTACAATGATAGGATGCATAGCTGCAAGTGCTGGCATAGATATTGTACGTGGAGCTAAGCCCTGTGAAGTTCTAATGCTGGATTTCTAAAGAAAACCTTAACGTTACGAAACTAGTTAGTTGTCCTTTTCTCTTTCGTGTAAAGTTGTTATCTTTGGTTCTTTACGCTGATGATTCAGTTAGACCCTTCTACCAACTGTAACTTCTTTTGAGCTTTCTCTTCTCCTAACACGAATATGGAAAGGGGAAATCTGCCTCGAACCTTTTCGTTTATTACCATTACTGTTAAGCGTCTATTTTATGTCCATGACTTGAATATGTGCATTGATTTGGAACACAATGTCCATTTTCCTTTTTTGGTATTTCCTCTACTAGACTTCATTTGCACATAACGTATATTTCATAATGAATTAATTAATGATGCATGATGATAATCATCAATGTCGGACCGACCACTCAGTTGTCTTGCCTTGATCATGAGTCGGGCTTATGTGCTGAATAAAGCAAAGCACACACGCCATCAGGGAAATAAGAAGGAAAGACGAAGGATTAGTAAAACGCTACACAACCGATTGAATCACTCTGTTAATCCTTAACGGAACATATTAGCTAAACATCGTTGACGTTGACAAATAAGTGTCTATTAATTTTTTTAGAGAAAAGCATTTTAATAATAGTAAAGCAGGCAAGGCGTAGTCGTAACAGGCAGGCCTGCTGCTCTTTGCAAGTAAGACCATGGTATGGTGATGCAAGAAAATGAAAGTTGATTTTGATGATCGAAGGAGGACAGGTTTTGGCTGATTAAATTGATGTTGGAGTTGGGAGTAGGCTGGGCAATCAAGACCACTGCTCATCATGATACATACAACAATATCTGCGATATCATCAAAAGCTTGGAAATCGAGGGATGGGAAATGATGGTCTCTAAGATATTGCTCTGATGACATAGATCCGAAGGGGATACTGAATCAAAGCGAGGGAGATGTACCAGTCTTCTCAGAAAGAAAACAAGCATAATATGGATTGGATGGACCGAGTCACCAGAGAGAATCCATCCTACTACTACTACTACTACTACTACTACTAGCGTAGCATGGTATTATTTTGATGAAAATTGGCCATCTTTTTCTACCGGGGACTGAATGGTTTAGTGGAAGTATGTTCGAGTGGTGTTTGGCTGTTTTCTGGCTTATTTCTCTTGGGTCTTCCACAGGACGTTGCAGTCATCATTAGCCTATGCGCCCTTATTTTGGCTTCCCTTCCATATTTTGACCCTCTTCCCTCAGACATGGATGGATTCGGTAGAGAGAGCAGAAGCATGCCATCCCTAAAGGCCGAAACGAACACGTGGGATGGGAAGGGTTTTGTGAAGTGAACTCAAATGTTGAAAAGAAAGACGCTTTGTTGCGAGCCCTGTGGCTTGTTTTCTTGTTTGGTTTGATCGTTGATGGTCAACCTGTTGCCAGCAGAAGACATGTTGCCACGTCATATCCTATGAGTTGACGTGGTGGGCTCTCTCAGTCTGAACCTAGTCAAACATAATCAACCCCTCTTCGTTGACTTATCAGCTGAATGAATCTTGATGAGGTTACCTCTGATTGGATTTAAGATCCTCCCGTCGCTTTGCTTTAGCTTCCTTGATGGATATGGCCTGTGATTGATTTCTTGTATTCTCCTTTTCTTTTGTTCGACAAGCAGCAGTAAACAGAGAGATTTATGAAGTCTCGAAGGGCTTTTAAGGGAAGCTGTTCATTGACGACGTTTTTCTTTGTCAATGGATTCAAGGTGATTACAGGAGCTTTTTTTTTTTTTCTAAAATAAAGTTCTCGAGACAAATCAAGATTCACCGTTGAATTCATGATATGTGTGTAAAAATTAAAATTTTAAATTAAAATTTTTCATAATTTTCATTCATTCAACGCTGACAGTGTATACACTGTCAGTATGAGAAAGATTAATTTTATATATATATATATATATATATATATACATATACATACATGATATCACCTTCTAAGTCCTTGGTTTTTAACAAATGGCTAAAAATAAATGCGCTGTGTATCATACTACAACCGGCTTATTGTCGCACCAAAGCCTTTCTCAATTGGAGATAACTTCTGAGTTTGGGCTTTTCCCCGCAGAAAAAGAAAATATAGATGACATAAGATTGCAATATATTTTCTCTGTGAATCAATGAACATATTCGTAGTTGGCAGACCGCAGAGGGTGCAATGCATTTCTGGATATCATAGAAGTATGGTTCTAAATTTTATCGGGCATGAGTATTTGGACATCCAATTTCTTGTATCTTACGAAATCTACAAGCGGATTTTTTCGCATAATAATTGATATCTGGACCGAGTAATTTTTTACCCCACGAGTAACTCCACGACCCAATTTCTTCTTCCTTACAAGCCATATCTGATGCTTTTCGTCCTTTGTGTACTTGTCATGTTCATATTTTTCTAGTCCTTAGCAGAAAAAATGGGGACTTGTCTTAAATTCGATTGACAAACGGGGGGTTAAATTGGGAGGAACTAAACCAAGTAAGCGTCGAGGACAGAGTGAATGCCGCAGCACACATTGCAAGAACATGGATGTTTAAAATACTAGCACAAGTCATGTTTCTTTTCCGAGTTTGTCCATATCTTCTTTCTAAAGTTTTCTATGAACTACAAATCTTTATCGTCATTCACATTATGTTTGTTGGTTTCTTAAAGTATAAACTAAAAAATAACATCTTAGTCAGTATTGTGAAAAAACAGCTTATGAAAGGCTTGTATTGAAGGTTGAAAATAACCTTATATTTTTTATTCATCAATTTGCTATTTATAGTGTCGTCGTAAAACAAACTAATATAATTTTTCCAATTAATAATTATTCTAAAAACTCTCAACAATACGACTTGATAACATAATATTCTACTACTAGCAAATATTAGCTAAAAACAGTTGTTAACAAACTAACATCATGATCTTTGATTAACAAATATCCTAACAATAAGACTTATTTAATTACTAACTAGTATAAAAAATAATCTAAAATATTTGTAGAAAAAGTTGGCACATCTCAAGAAAGTCAAACCACTTTCAAAATGTGGGCAGCGGTGAGGTCTGAGAATTTTTACTCCCTCTCTTAATTATGAACCATATTAGGTTTGTTTGGATTGCGGTTTATTTGCCAAAATATATTTACTTACATCATTATTACAATTTCCAACACACCTTTTTATCTTTCCAATTATCTTTTTATCTCATATACATCACATCACAAAAAGTGTTACAGTAAAAATAACTCTAATAATTCACAATCCAAACAAACCCAATTGAATCTTTGGTACTTTATTGTTTGCATTTATATAAACTTCCATCTCTTTCTGCTTAATCCAACTAGATAACCACACAAATGACAGAACTAGCTCTTTTCTGTACTAGACACACGTTATCTCCATGTTTTGAATCCCATGTTAAAGTTTGCTCAGAAATAGCAGTAGTTATTCTCCGAGGAGCAAGGATGGACGAGAATGTGCACATTTTATTCCTATGATTTGCTAACCCATCGTTTGCATGTAGATGATACTGCTACATAAAATACCACCGCGGATATCAACGCACTGAACTAAATACCACTGTTTCCGACAATTGAGCAACAAACATATACCACTAGGGAAAAGACATGTCACATATATTGTTGAAGTCCTAGCTAAAGTTAAAACTGCCACAGTTGAGTTTTGCATGATACATCTAAGGCCCCAAAGAACAAAAACAGGATACAACAAAAGATACTGCAAGGATATACCGCTACCACCATACTAGTATTCATATATAGAAACTGTTGCTCCTGATGGATGGATGCCGGATGGATGGATGGATGGAGGGACAGCTACCAAAATATTGTCCTATGCAAAGACTACAATTGATACTGCAGCGAGGTAACTACCACTTTGACTCCTATGGTTTTGCAAAAAATACGTACTAGTAATACTAAAAGAGGGAGGAGTCCTAGCTAGGCGGGCCCAAAGATGTCCCAGGCAATATTTTGCTTCAGTTGTTGTTGGACTTGGAAGCGCCCGCGCTGGAGCTGGAGCCGGAGCAGAGATTAAGATCAGGAATGGAGTCAGAGGAATGATTGGGTCTTGGGTTCTTGTTCCCATGAGCTAGCTTGCGTTTCAGCTCATTCAGCAGTGCTTGATTCTCTTTGTTCAGCAGCTCTGCTTTCTTCCTCAGCCTTTCGTTCTCCTTCATGATGTAACAGTTTTCCAAGTACAGTTTTGAGTTCAGCTTGTCCATCGCTGATTATACGTGCAACAGAATGGCTAGCAATCCTGAAACAGAGATCATGAACGATAAAGAAATGGGGATATCAGGTTATGATTCGATTTCCGGAATGTCAATAAACAAGACCAAATCGAAAGAACGCTTCAAAGATGGCTTGCCTTCCTTCAAGATGTTTGTTTATCGATTTAGTAATCAAATTCTTCAGGATTTATGCTGCAGAAAGCAAAATCGTTCTAACCTATTCCGTATGCTTTTAGCTACCCCGGAATGTAGGAAGTTAAAGCAGTTCAGGGAAATAATGGGCAGGCACGATGAAAGAGAGTGAAAACAGGGCAGGTGGAACGCCAAGCAAGAACAGCTTTTATACTTGACTAGCTCGTAAAATTTCTGATTTATTCATTAAAATAACACGCAAAAAGCGATAAAGAAGAAGAATATGAGTATCTCCAAATCCGCACTCATTTAAAAATGGCTCCTTTCTGTTGTCCTGGCTAGGAAGACAAGAATATAGTATCATAACAAGATGACAAATACCGTTTAAGATGTTGAAAACAAAAAATAAAAGTGAATACCATCATTATGGTTTAATAAAATGCACATGCATGGCTTCAGAACATTACAATTCGTGTTCCTAATCATAAATATGCCCATTTGTGTTTCTGTTTGATGCATTTTGAGTGTGAAAAAGAAAAAGAAAATAGATACAAAAAGAAAAAGAAACACCGACAGACACTCCTCCTCCTGCGAACAACCTATGCTGCTGAAGCCTAAAAGTAACGACTTACGAACCACCAAAACCCCCTCCCTCGACAGCCCCCCCTAAAAAAAAAACTTCAACAGATATTGGCTTTTTATTTTTGTAGACAATTGTAGAAGGAGGACAAGAACGAGCAGTGTGATAAGAGGGGTGTGTTTTGATTAACTGCAATGTTTGGAGACTTTCCGTTGTGAATAACGCACATGATGAATAACAAACCAAAGATAGTCCCAACTTTAGTCAAGAGGGAAAAAAAACAAAAACAAAACAAAAGAAATGCACCCCATGTACAAAAGATTGTCTACCTTTACATGTGAAAGTAAGCAGAGAAGAAACAAACAAAAACAACTACTAGACTACTAGTAACAGCAGCAGAAGCAATAGGAGGAGGAGTAGTAGTTGTTGTTGTAGTGGAATAGAAGAAAAGAAGAGGAAGAGAGACAGAAGGGGGTGGGGTCTCCCTTTAGCTTTTCTAAAAAGATCACCTTTTCGAAGGTTGGCAAGAGCAAGAAGCAAGTTGCAAGCAAGCAGCTTTGGCCGAGGAAGTGTGACAAGAGTTTCCTCTACTTAGCAGTTAAAAAGGGCGGAACCTACGGGACAAAGAGAGCTAATGGGGGGCAGGTCAATTTATATAGTGCAAAAGAGTAGGAAAGAGAAAATCTATGGAAGGGGGAGAGGAGGGGGTGGGGGGGGACATGCTTTTTCTACCCATCTGCAGAAACAATCATGTATGTGTAAGCACGGAAGGCGGCTTGTATTGGAAAGGATTTAAATGTTCTTCTTCCAATTTTTACTTTGCCATATGATGATGATGATGAGTTTTTTTAGGGGATGGCGTCATGTGAATGATGGGCTGTCAGAGAAAGGGGCATTTTGGGTAGTTTGAGGCGTTGCCATTCCACACACTTTGTAGAACTTCCAAAGAAGGGTAATTCGGGACCTTCACAGGGGGTTTCGAATGATGGTAGGGCTTGGCGGTCCGAAGATTCGCAATGATGGTTTGGATTGGTTCGAACCGACGCAGCCCATCATCACACCAGACCAGTGACCAGCCCCCCACCTTCCCCTACCATCGATTCTCTTTTGTTTTGTTTTGTTGTGTTTTGGGTTTTCATCCAAATCCACTGCTCCCCCTTTCTTCAGCCTTCCACTTGGTTTATTTACACGTCCTCTTTTTGTCTTTTAATAAACTGCCCTAATTTTGCCTCTAATCTGACTGATTTGCCCGTTTGGCTTTCAAGATGTTTAGGCCTAATCCCCGTTCCCTCTAGACATATCAATGACTAAGATTTGGTTTAGATACTGGTTTGTTTGAATAGTGTACTATTTGAAATAATTACAGTAATATTTTTTATGATGTGATATATATGAAATATAAAGGTGATTGAAAATATAAAAAAATGGGTTAGAAAATGTATTTATGATGCAAGCGAAATATTTTTTGGAGAAATTTACTATCCAAACATCTTTTAATTCAAATCCTTTACCCAAATTCCTTTGACTATTTGGATAACTTGAGAAGAATTTGAATTTGAAATCCTCCAAAAATATTTTTATAGTTCAAATGAGTGCATTTGAAATTCACTCAAAAATATTTCAAATCCCCTTCACTTATTTTTGTCTATACATTAAAGAATCTACCCTTCTTTTTATGTGTGTATAAAAAGAAGTTATTAACCGTTAATTCACTGAAAAATAGTTACTGGAAGTGAAACGGTGGATTTGAAACAGCGGGAATGTAAACCCACAAATGGAGAAGAAAAAGAAGAATGAAAAATTGATTTTCCACCCCTGAACTCTACAATTATTTAGTTTTTACCTCTCATGTTTACCTTAAATATAAATTCCTTTCACAATGTAACAACCCTTAGCCAAACAATGTATTTGGATTAAATATGAATTATAAATTCTCATTTCAAATCCATTCATGTTAAATACCTCATGAAATTCAAATCCATCAATCTAAAAGGACCATAAAGTATTATTTGGTAACTTTATAATAATGTGTTTCAGCAATTAAATATAAAAAAGAGCATTGCTATACTAAGCAAAATATCATCACCAAATTCCAAAGCGAATAGTATGAACACTATAATCAACTTTATCCTCGAAAGATAGGAAAAACATGGAATGATTATAATGTGAGGCATCTTCCTATTTATCTTTATCATTTGATTCATTTAATCATAGTTGTATTTTATATCTGTTTTTATTTTTTTAAAAAAATAATTGATAAGTGAAATTCTATTCTTTATTAAGGGGTCTATGAAACCTAGGTCTATAAAACTCATTAGTGATTCTGAATGACTTTAAAGAAAAACATTACGTATAAATGTGATTGAATTGAAATCCAATCGTTGTCTTAAAACTCACTTACCAAACATCTATTAGTCTATATCGTGGATATAATAAGCATGAACTGAAAAAGCTCAGCCTGTTTTGTTATATTGGATTAGAGACATAATTGGACATGATTTATGATTTGCATTAGATTCTAATGCTATGCAATGCAGAAGAGTACACTCTTTTAAACTTATTCCTCGAAATGAAGAATACAAGTCGCCGGTGGGAATCTAACTGATGGGAAATAACTTCGGAGGAAGCCATGAAGTAGTAGTTGGTGGGAGGTGAAGGTTAAAGCACTACAGAATATTTTTTGCGGTGACTAATAGACCAAATGAACTGTTGCGAAAAAAATTAGGGAAGTCATGAAAGGAAATTGTAGCACTAGTAAACTAGTACTTCCACTAATTTAAAGTTGGTAAAGCCTTTTTTCTTCTGTGTCCGGGTAAGAGGGTAAAGCTAAGATTTAACCAGGAAAACTTGGGTGATTAAATAGCCTCAAGCAAGAGGTACAGCTATTTGGAATGCAGAAGAAAGCAAGCAAGAAAAGCACCACAGAATCAGACTGATCACTAAATTAAGGAAAAAGTTCTGGTATCCAATGAGCTTTTTACAGTATGATGGCCTTTGTTGCAATATGATGGAGTTTTGTTTCACGAAATACAAAGTAAAGCATAATTCTTTTGCTTAGCATCATAGAGCTGAGCATTTTTCTTTGTCATAATAGTATTAAGTTGTTGTATCTGTGTGTAATGGAGGAGGGGTAGGGGCAGGCTAACGCGTTATGAATGAGTGCATTAACGTGAAACATCATGGCTTTGCAGGCGGATCTTTTGATGTATAATAATGAACTAGTTTAGGAGTTATTTGATATGCCGTGCTTGTAGATAGATATTTGGTGTAAAATGTCGTCTGATTCCAATTAGCTAACATGATTAGTTATTCGTAAACACAGATGAATTGTACGTCTTAAGATAGAGATGCTAACATGCAACAGAATCGGAGGCACCTTGCAATTGTTGTAATCGTACAATTTTTGGTTTCTGATGGTTTTTTTAGCTTGTGGTAGTATCATAAAGCAAAAAAAGAGGAGAAAGGGCATAGTATCATAAAGCAAAGGAAGGTAGTACTGGTAATAATGGAGTAAAATAAAAAAGAAGGAAGGAGAGGTCTTCCCAATCCCAACCCAACGTGCATGAAATGAAGAAAGAGTTGCAGCAGTAAATGTTGGGTAGCTTGTTGCAACAGTAGCAGCCAGCGATTCTTTTGGTATAAATTGTGCCCTCTGAAAGAAGCAATGATGGCAATGCCATGTAAATCTATCTAATAATAACAATTGGTCTCCTCTCTCTAGTAAATAGTAAATAGTAAATAATAGTAGTAGTAGGAATTCCCCAACCCTCTTACTTAAATAAATGGGTGCGCCTTTTTGCAGCCAATTTGAGTGGTGACCCTTTATTAAAAAGAAGTTTCTTTCATGATTTAGGAGGTTGGGGGTTATTTTCCATAAATGTATCGCAGTGACCAAAAGATTTACAACGCCATTGATATCATATCAAGCATTCATTCCGCACAAACCCAATTGATTGCCACACTCCTCCTTCTCCGTCTTCTTCTTCTTCTTCTTCATCTTCTTCCTCATCATTATCATCTATTATCATTTTCTTGCCCTCCTAGGCCGGCCATGAGCAAAATTCTAGTTAGCCAACTTGGCAGTGGACCTCCATATATTCCATTCATTGACTTGCCCATTTGGCCATTTGAGAGAGATGATTGCATTGCCCGTGTGATGTTGAACCATGCAATTTCATTGGGGCATTACTGGTACATGTGAATGAATTCTCGATTTCAAATTCGCTTTTAATTTTTTTTTTTTTTGTTCTTTTCCCTCTCTTTGCAAAGAGCATGACCTCATCAACAACCAAGATTCAACCCTTCAAAGTCTCTCTGCTTTATCTTTCTGAGGTAATTTTAATCATTTCGCATAATACCAATCCCTGCAAGGCTAATGATGGAATTACATTATTGTAGTTATGTGCGTTGAACCCTACACGTGATCTTACCTTCCACAATTTAATCTTTGGCTCTATGGAGATGGGACCACAAACATATCTGAATTGCCCCCCCCCCTCCCCTTCCTCCCTCCCTCCGGGGACCCTAGTTTACATATTACGTACTACTCTTTCAAGAAACCATCTTAGCAGCAGTAGCAGAGTACTGCTAATTTAATTACTCCATCAGTTGAGAATTTTTTTAGAGGGTTTGACAAGCTAGAGCTAAAGAAAAGAGGTAGATTCCGGTCTATGAATTTCTGACACCTTTTCCAGCGTGAAAAAAAATGTAGTACTAGTCCATAAAGCAGCAGTAATTCTATTTCTTCTTCTAATTTGGCAGAGGAGGGATTTGTAAGCTCCTGTGTGAGAACGACTAGTAACACGGCATTTTATAATAATGTATCATGTGTGTGTGTGTATATCGATCGTCCACCCGAAACGGTTAATGACTTGCATGCGAATACGAAGGAAGGAATGAAGAAAAGAAGTTGGTTTCGTACAAAGCCCCCAACTTTCGACAGCGATCGGCTTTTCGTGTGCCTTAAATGTCTGCCTTTTCTTAAACATGTTCATGATACTAATGATGCCGTCGCAAGGAAACACAGCGCAAAAAAAAAAACAAGTAGAAGACCCTTTTCACAAATCTCTTCTTGACGAG